AAATTATATTTAAATCTATATTTCCAAGTAAAAACTGTTATCACTACCGCCAAGGAAATAAAACCTTGGACCAGTGGTTGTAAATATCAAATACATTCACCGATTTGATTTATGACGTTTTATGACACTCTGGATGATCTTCAAATATTCTAATATTATTTATAATTTGAAATAGGCTAAATATTTAAAATTTATATATTGTATAGATATATCTTAAGCTAGATGGCCAACTTTATTATTGAAATTAGTGGTGTATGGCTCCGTCCTTAAGGCAAAATGCTGAAACTTTCCGTACCAAATAATTTTTTTCAAAAAAAAGTTTTCAAAAATCAGATTCTTGAGAAATTTGAAATTTTTGAAAAAAATGTGACTTTTTCAGAAAAAATGATTTTTTTGAAAAAAAAAAGATTTTTTTTTATATTCCGTAACACTTTGGAAATTTTTAACTTTTTTTGAAGCAATCGCGCTGCTTTAGCTGCATACATACGAAATATCGAAGCGCTTGCACCACGCGTCGGAGTCTAACGTCAAATTTGATGTGCATATGTCCAATGATCATTTTTGCCCGCCAAATGGCATTTATTTATTCATTTCACTCGATCTCCGGAACGGCAAAACCTGCCTTACCAAAACTTTAATCAGTTCTTTATTTTGTCAATACAAGTAAAATATTTTTTGAATTATTAATATCGAACGATTCGTTCTCTTAAACCTCAGTTACCGTTTTTGGCACTTTTTGCCTCGTATCTTCGAAACGGCTGGATCTGCCTTATCCAAAAACTAATCAGAACGTATCCTTATCAATAGGAATCGAATATTTTTTGAGTCATTCAAACGGTGTAACCAAAGTCGACGACGAAAATTTGTATCCGAACACACACACATATAAATCCATTTTTTCTAAGGTATGCCAAAATGTTCAAGAACCTCTAAAACGTGAAGATATATAAAAATTTAACTGTATAACTCTGAGTAAAAAAAAGTATCGAAACTTTTTTGTAGATAATTTTTTGCTCTACAATTTTGTTTCGGGTAATTTTGCGATGAAACTGACCATTTAGCTAAAAATCCTGAAAAATTAATTTTTTGACCTTTGATCTTGTACAAATTTTTTTTAGCTCGCACCGGAACGATGGGGACTTTTGAGATTTCTTTTATAATTGTATTTTAAACAATTTTTACCAAGTTACAGCCCAGTATGAATTATTGTAACCTTGAATGCGTAAACTGAAAGGGCTATATCTGTGCTATGTCACATGCTGAACTACTTTTGTCATAAGAGAGGAATACCCATGGTCAATTGTAATCATTTTTGTTACGAACATATATAGATTCTAAATATTTTTCCAAGTGAAAATAGCTCTTCTCAGACATGGCTGCATCAAATAGTATAATAAGTCAGCCCTGTTAGATAAATTCTAATAATAACTAGCTGTAAGTGGAATTCTGTCTTAAGGCAATTAGGGCATCGTGCCTTAAGGCAAATTGCTGGAACTTCCCGTACCAAAAATTTTTTTTTTTTTTTAAAACGATTTTGAAAAAAAATTACTTTAAAAAAATAAGATTTTTGAGAAACTATAAATTGGACAAAAAATTAGTTTTTTTTGAAAAAAAAAATTTTTTTAAAAAAATTTTTTTTTTTAAAAAAATTTGTTTTCTTTGAAAAAAAATTTTTTTTTCTTTATTTTGACATATTGTGGAAGATCTGAACTTTTTTTTTAAAGCAATCGTACTGCTTTACATAGGGACAAAATATAAAGCGCGTAAGCGCCGCGTCGCTGTCTAACGCATAAGCATTGGTACGGAACCGATAGGAATGTTAACAAAATGTATACTTATTGTTAAAATCTCTATAAAATGTCTGATAATTTGATGTGCATATGTCTAATGATCATTTTTGACCGCCAAATGGCTCATTTTTTTACTTTTTCCTCTATATCTCCGAAACCGCTGGACCTACCTTCATGAAAGTTGTATCGGTTCTTCATCTTGTCAATACAAATAAAATGTTTATTGAATTATTAAAATCGGACGCTCCGTTCTCTTAAAAACTGAGTTACCGTTTTCGGAACTTTTTGCCCCGTATCTTCGGAACGGCTTGACCTGCCTTTGCCAAAAACTAATCAGCACGTCTCCTTATCAATACGGATCGAATGTTTTTTGAATTATTCAAATCGGTTGATCCGCGTTCCCGAAATCGTCGACGAAAATTTGTATCCGCACATACATACACACACATACATACATACACACACACATACACACACACACACACACACACACACATACATCCATTTTTTCTAAGGTATGCCAAAATGTTCAGAAACCTCTGAAACGTAAAGATATGTAAAAATTTTCATTTTCGATTTTTTTGCGATTACTATAACTTGCCCTACGGGAAGTTAAAAATAATCTAATATGATGGATCACCGTTGAGTTTCAACCTACCTATCACTAAATAGTTTATTCACTCACATATAACAGTTTATTCCACAATTTAATCAATTTTTTGTATAACTTGGAAAGCCATCTATGTGAGTTTAAATCCATCTAAACCTTGCACACATATCCAATTTTATGTCCGCCAGAGGGAACCCTGTGAAAAGATAATATATTAGTAAAAATACAATTCAGCGTTCGTCAATTATAACTAATTTAGTATAAATGAATTGTAGAGATATTAAGTAAAAATTGTAGTTAACGTTGTTGTAATTTTATGAATTGACTATTTCTTTATTTTTTTTAATATCTTGCAAAACCAACATAGGTAGATACTATAAATGCTTTGGAAAAAGTAATTTTTATATGAGAAATAAATTTGGATTTATATCAAAAGATCAATTTTAGAAAGTTATTTCGATTGGATAGAAACTATAAAATTTACTTATTATATTAAAGTAGTTTTTTTATTGACAAAATATAGAATTGAAAATTGATACAAATCTAAATCGGGTAATTGAAAGTCAGGCATTGGGACTAAGACGATAAGATTAAGAAATTCAATTTCATTGTATCTAAATATATTTCTTATTAGTAACATATACAAAATTATCAGTCACTATATTTATTGATGATAGTGATATATTAAAATTATTTTGTTTGTTCTATATATACAAAGCTATAAATCTATCTTCAATCGCTATTATACATTTGATACGAATATATAACAGCCGTATCTCTAATAAAAAAAATTAAATAAAATAAAATATTTTGAAAAAAGGCTCACTAGGAACCATCATTTAACTGGCATGCATATTGTACACTTGGAAAGATAGTCTTCATGCTAATATTAAACAATATTGATATCAACTAAAGAAACTTTGATACTTCGGACGTTGGTTAAATTTTAATTAGCTAAACAAAACATATAAATTGCATGTTTGTAAATAAATTGGCAACAGAAAACTTGAAAATAAACAATATCTCAGTAGTAATGTCTACAGATGTAAAAGAAGTCATAAATTCTTGAGACATATCCACCAGTGAACAAAATATGCAGTAAACTATTTAAAGAACATGAATTTTTAGTGAAATTTAACTGAGAAAAAGTGGAAATGTGGAAAATGTGACACAAAACTCACTAACTTAACAAAATAGATGATGGCAATGAGGCAATTTTTATGCCTAATTTTGTAACTCTGTTAGAAACCACACAAGCATTCAATCAACAATTCATTCATATAAATATTACATATCCATATATGTATATATATATATATATATATATATATATATACATATGTTTTATTGATTTATGGTACATATCTTTGTGTCTAATTACCAAAGTGTCTTAAGTCGAGATAGTAATTTTATATTTCTATACTGATATTGTTCACAAATGTTTTCATTTGTGCAAACACATCCAAATTTAGATATGTGACTTAATTCACTTATAATAAAACTTCAAATACCTATCACTGGTAAGCTATTTTCATTCTCTAACAATCTTATAATTAATTATTTTCACTCAAGTAAGTGATGCTTCAATCCTAATCCAGTCTCTCTGATAAATCTTTTAGATACATTATTCATCTATTTGGGTAATAAGGTTCATTAGTATATTTGGTTTTTCACTATCAAAGATTTTTATTTATCTACAAAATCCCTTTGCAACCATACCTAACGTATTTTATGTTAGATTATCTCACAATTTCTAATGTTATGTTTCTCTAAGTAAGCGCAAACAAAGTTTTCAACTTACTTTCTATAATTATTATGTTACTTCAATTCAATTTGATATTATTTATAGATAAAATATTATCTGAAAGTTGCCTCACACTTTTGAAATTCACAAAAAGACACAAAATTCAAATATTTTAATAATCTGTAAACTCTGTACTCTGCATTCTGTAAACTATTATATTATACAGTTTTATCGACTTATTAAATATCAAAATGAGCGCAATGGTTTATATGAACAATTTCCATTTGCTAATATTGTAATCATTTTATATGTGTAAATAACAGAAGTTCAAATAATTGTGTTCCCATCTAATAAATACTGGTTAATGCTTCATACCATTAGGGTAAAATATGAATCAATTATTTTATTTGAATACCATAAAATAAATTATGAATTTTATTTATTTTATGATAATTCAAATAAATAATTATCATAATTTTTTGTACCTTTAGAAATACCTATAGGTAATAAATTTTGTTAAACCGCTGAACTATAAAATATTAAAATCAACTGAACAATAGTTTAATAGATCAATCATAATCAATGGTCTATTTAAAATAATTAACTATTTACTCATTTAATAAATTATTTAAAACATTCAAGAAACTTATTAGAATAAAATAAAATTATAATAAAATGAAAAAATTAATAAACAATTCAATATTTGTATGTTCTTAAAATCCATTTTATTTTAAAAACTGATTTCATTATTATGCAAATTTCTCATTTTGAACTTTTATCAAAATTAATATTTTTTTGGCAAAATTTAGTGCAAATTTTTGATATCATTTATAAGGATAAAATATTTTCCAATTCGTTCAATAATAATTGTATTTTTGGATATAGTTTTAGGGTGATTAGAAGTTTTGTTGCCTCTTCCTTTTCGTGTCCATGGCATCCAATATCGGCTGCCTCTTATTTTGATATCTTCGACGCAAATCATCAATTTCTCTCTCCATTTCCGAATCAAGACTCGACATCCTCTGTTGTAACTCATCATAACTAAGAAACTTCAACTAGAAATAGTACAAATAACAGAATGAATAATTGAAAACATTTTTGCCTTAAGATCATGAAGTTTAAATAACCAAGTTTTTAGAAGAAAATATATATTAATAAGTGCTTTATGTTTATTTCAATATATTAAAACTTTTCATTTTCTTTTCAGAAAAAATAAAAATATCAAATGTAGACAATTAGCAATTAATAGTAATTTGAAAGCAAATAATCATTAAATGTAATAGTTTGAGCTTTGAATTATAGTTTATACTTGATAGATTAACTTCAAATTAAAAACTTACAAATTCAAAATCACCATCAGCAAATGCTCTTTGGAACTTGGCTTGATTATCATGATGCCTCTGCATGTTATGATCAGCAGCTTGTTGTTGTTGTTGAGAATGAGCTACTTGAGGTGATCCGACTTGAGAAATTTGATTTAATTGTAATTGAAGTTGAGATTGAAATCTAAAACAGTAAAATACGATAAATAAAAGGTATATGATACAAGATATAATTCTTATGTGAAACACGTTAAACGGCAATTTATTGAATTCATTTAATTGAAATATACTCATCAATAAAAACACACCCATATATATATATATATATATATACATATATATATATATATATATATATATATATTATTTTTATATAAATATATTAGGGCGGGTCGATTTAAAAGTCATTCAGACACATGATTTGCGGATACTGGGGAACAAAATAAGATAATTTTCTGAAGGAACTAACATCTAAAATAAATTCTGATGTCCCGTGTATTGACTTAAAGATAAGGGTTGAATTTTGAAAAACTCCGTTTTGGCCCATTTAGAGTGCCCCAATCGCGTCCAAATGTATGACCGACCACCATTAACTTTGAAGGGCCTATCCAACCAAGCCCATCGTTCAACCCCTGGGACCTCCCCTTAAAGGTCACCTATACAAAAATTGCAAAAAATCATTGGTTTTGGTATTTTACTCAGAAAAAAATTTTTTTAAACCATTTTTTCGCATATTAATTCATACAGACACTGAAAACTTTTTCACAATTTTTTTTTTATTAAAATTTGTTGTTTCAATTTTTCCAATGCATTTTGTATCCGCATGTCTATGCTAACTAGTGGCTGTTATGGCACCGACATTAGAGAGTTGTGCGTAATTTTACAGATTTGAAACCAAAAAAGAATTCAAGCAATAATTTATAAGTTTAACACAGTTTTATTTACATATGCTATGTTTAAATAAAATGTATAATAAAAATAAATTGCTGATTTTTGTCATATTGAAGATCCATTCATGATGCAATTTTTGTATGGGGGATCTCTAAAGAGAAGTCCCAGGGGGTTAACAATGGGCGTGGGTAAATCGGCCTTCAAAAGTTAGTGAGGGTCGGTCATCCATTTGGACTCTATTGAGGTGCTCTAAATGAGCCAAAACAGGATTTTACAAAATTTGACTCAATCTTTGGGTCAATGCACAGGACATCAGAATTCATTTTAGAGGTATGGTTTCTTCAGTGAAGTATCTTATATTTTTTTATTCATACTAACTTTTTTTTATTCATACAAATTGACCCGCCCTAATATATATATATATATATATATATATATATATATATATATATATTAATATACATATACTAACCTTTGTCTATCATCAGCATTAACTGCTGTTTGTTGGATAATTTGTTGCTGGGCGGTAGGCGTCTGCGGGCTTTGTTGTTGGTTATTATGATTTTCTTGTATTCTTTTATCTTGTGATTGTGTATGGTTGAGATCTAATGTAGGTATTTTATTGTTTGGTTGAGGCAAAAGCCCATTGCCTTTTATATTATTTTCAGCTTCCTTCTTATCAAAATGATCGAGGAATAAGGGCCTGTACTTCTTTCCATGGTCTCCTGGTGCTGTATCATGCCCTATAGAGAGTAAACTGATTATTAAAAACTGTGAAAATAAAGATTGATCAAATTTGACTGCATTGAACAAGGGTAATTGATATTTCAAATATTAAATAAATCAAAAATATTTTATTATGACAAATTATACTCGGTAGATTTTATTATTATTGAAATAATTTCTTACTCTTCATAGTTTCATCTGAATCACTATTAATAACCATTGTTCCTAAATTTGAAGATAATTCTAACATTGTTCCAGTTTGTGAAGTTGGCAAAAGGGTTCCTGAATCTGGATGAGCAATCATGGTTCCATCTGCATTGTCTTTATCTGGGACCAACGTGCTATCTGAATATTGTTTCATTGTCTTATTGTTTACATGGCCTTCATCTTCATCCTAAAAGACAAACACATTAATTATAGTATTCATCTTTAGAAAACAGTTGACTAGAAAAAGTTATGATGCACTAAATCTTAATTCGACTTTAACTTGACAAACTCAAAAAATAATAAAGCAATAAAACTTATACTTACAGATTCATTGGTATGATTCTGCTTAACAGCATTTAAAGCAATATGCCTATTACTTTGATTTTCTCTAATTTCATGAGCTTCTGCAATCATTTGCCCAAGTATATTTGGTTGCTTGGCATTTACTAATGGGAAGAAAAATCAACCATTAATCATATAATAAAAATTTCGATCTGCATATTACACATAGATGATAGTGCTATAAATAATTTAAAAGAAACCCGCCAAGGTACAACTACCTATGAATTCATGCTGCAGCAGATCCGTAGCGGTCGCTCGTTCTTCCGGGTTCTTCACAAGGCACAAACTGACAAAGTCTATGAATTCAGGAGTCCATTGGTCAGGTTCTCTGAAAGACGGTGGTGGTTTCGTAGGTATCATAAAAATTGCTCTCATGGGATGAATATCTCCATATGGCGGTTTTCCTTCTGCCATCTCTAAAGCAGTGATGCCTAAGCTCCAAATGTCTGCCACACAGTCATAACCGATTTCTTGAATAACTTCCGGCGCCATCCAGAAAGGAGTTCCTATCACAGTGTTTCGTTTTGCCATCGTATCCTACGAAAATTATTATAATATGTTATTATATATATATATATATATATATATATATATATATATATATATGTATTTTATTAACGTGTAATTTCATTTCAGTTAGCCAAAGTTAAAGTAATAATCTATATGATAAATACAGTGCGAATGATAAAATAAAGCATCTAACAATTCAGAAGTGAAATGAATTAACCCCATTATTTTGATAACGTTTTGGTTTCAGGTTTATTAACGATTTTCTCTTTCTCAGTGTGAATGTGTTATTTTAATAACGTTTTGGTTTCAGGTTTATTAACGATTTTCTCTTTCAGTAAAGTTCTGTTGTATCAAACAAGATAAGTGTTTGAGAATGGCGTCGGGTGTACTGACCAAATATTAGTAAACTTTAAAAAAAAATACTATAAATGTTGCTTACCGTCAACTGACCAGCAACACCAAAGTCCGCCAGTTTAGCATGACCTTCTGAATTCAAGAGTATATTTCCAGCTTTGATGTCTCTATGAATTTTCCTGCGTAGATGTAAATATTCAAGACCTTTTAACGTATCACATAAAATCGTTGCTATTTCTTCCTCTGTAAGAGTTTTCTTACGTAATCTCATTATATCTGACACAGATCCTGCACCACAGTATTCCATAACAATCTGAAAAAAAATCAAAATCATTTATTACAAGAAAAATAACAATTAAATTAGAAACAATTATATTATGACCACTCACCCACAGATCCGTATTTTTGAAGTAACTTCCATAATATTTGACAACATAAGGACTATCACATTGTTGCATTATTGAAATTTCTTTAATTATTTCCTGCAGATCTGTGTCTACAGGCACCTGTTTGATGGCCAATACCTGTCCGGATTCTTTATGAAGAGCTTTGTAAACCGATCCATAAGATCCTTCTCCTAATTTGCAGATTATGTCAAAAACTTCTTCGGGCTGCCTGGTCAGACTTTCCTCCGATAGCTTTTTCAGCTCACTAAAGCAAAAATTGATTGTTGATAATCACAAAAGATGAATATAGTCATGATATAAAACTTTACATTAATCAGTTATATTAGAGAATAACGCATTCACGACGTATTGTGAAAGTGTTAAGTGTAATAATTCCGTCAAATCTACCAAGAACCTGAATTTAGAACACTTATTGAACGCAATGAAATGAAATTGAAGCAACTAATACATCTTTTGCTTGTACAAAAATATATTGTCAATTTGCGATAAATATTCCAATTTTTACGCCAACGTTCACATTTATGCTATTACAATTTGAAAACAAATTAGTTTCCAATAATTTATTGTTTTCTGTCCAATTTTTCATACAAGATAATAGAAGTAGTGACCGAAGAAAATTTTTCCAGTTTATCCACAATGCTAAAAATTTAGAGAAACTAGTGGGTATGGCATTGGAAAGTTAAAAATAGTAATAAGAGTACTTTAACCGGTCAAGAAAGAAAGATCTATTGATTTGGCTGCTTTTGCTGTGGCGATAATCATCAAAACAATATTTTTCTTTCAAAATAGCTTTCAATGCTATAAGCAAGCACAGTTGCTATTATTGTACATAATCGATTATGGGGTTGGTCGTTGTGATTGTACATAATAGATAATGTGAACATTATGAATCGTGGTAGAAAATGCCAGAAACTACGTTCTGGTCAAGGTTAATGTATATTTGCTCATAAAAATTCATGATTATAAAATTGATGAATGGCATTTCGCCTTTAATGAAAATTTCTGGAACTTCCAGTTTTTTGTGCACTTATGACAATAATCAATTTAATTGGAATTTTGAAATCCACAAACAAATTTAATGTAACAAGCAAAATTAAAAAACCCTGCCGGTAAAATTAAACTATTTTTTTAACCTTGAGAAGCAAAAACCTTGCAAAAAACATCATATCACGATACGATACCCAAAATTTGTAAAAAGAATAGAATCTAAAGTCTTTATCTCTAAATGTGATATTTTCACCAGTCTTCTCTAAAATCCAAGAGAATTTTGACCCTCTTTCGAAGATCCGAAGTTACACACTACTCTTCACTAATTCTCTTCTTTTAATTGTAAATATGAAAAAAAATGTTTTCAATTAGATGCTGCAGAAATTTGATAACTTATTATACAGTCAATAAGAATTAGTTAACATTATTTTATTATTAATAATACAAATAATTTAAGCTTCCTATATTTGATTTTTCAAAATATTCAGCACGTTTCACTCTAAAATTATTCGCTCATGTCCACGATTTGAAATTCCTGAATGAATGAATTTTTCCGCAATTATTTAGAAATCGAAAGCTATAAGTCACACTTGACTTATATGCACATGTGGAATAATACAACAGAGACACGAAAAAAGTGTTTTAGGTGTTTTATGATATACCGACATGGTTAAATTTTGCAAGAACCCCTAGAATTTTTTAATAAAAATGGATAATTACATGCTTTGGTAAATATACACAAGAATCAGACACAAATTACAAATAATAAGTTATTTGTACATATAATCTAACATTTATGAATGATTTTTATATGTATGTGATCCGCACATTAAAAATTGCAGTGTTACACTATATTTTACTATGATAGAATTATCAAAATATAATGTACCAGTTTATAAAGCCAATAAAATAATAAAAAAAAAAAAAATTATCAAAATATCTTATGTTTACAAGAACTGTATAATCCAAGTTCAAAATTCTTTCATTCTTCGTGATGTATTTTTAGTTCATGTTGCGTGTGTGAGAATCATTCATGGAAAAAATATCTACTAAACCTACATTCCTTAAAAGTTCGTCCCCACAAGCAAACTACTGAAAATAAACGTTATTTCATTTCATTCATAGGAATAAAAAATCAAGAGACGACTATCTTGGGAAACTAAACTTCCCACAATTGATTTTTTGTTGTTGATTTATTTTTTGTAGTTGATTTAAAAATTATATGATATAAACAATGATAAAGTCAATAACTATTTATTAATAAAAATATGATTTTTTTGTAAATATAACTTTTATTTAGTTATTTGCTGCATGATGTTAAAAAAAAATTAGAAAACAAATATTTTAAAACCAGTAATTGTTTAAAATTAGTATCAGTACAAAATTCGCAAAAATTAGAAAATAATATTAATCTAATTAATAACGATTTACACACTTGTTTGTTCATATAATTGATAAATTTTTAAATTTGATGAATATTTAAGATCTTCGATATTTGAAATAGGTACCAATAAAATCTTAAAGATAAAATTGATACAATCAAAATGCTAGGTGTAAGCGGCGTTTTGACAGCAAGTTATAAAGACTTCCCGATCTGTGTATATAATCGACATAAGACTATATTTTTAGCAATTTTTAAAATTAAGGTAATAAAATTTTTAAATTTTGACAAAGCCTTAACTCCAAACTTTGACGAATTTTTGTAATTAAACCACATCTCGTAGGTTTACATATAATATTTTAGGATATCTGTTAAGACCATCAACGTTCAAAAATTCATCAAAATCGCCAACATGATATTTAAATATTATTTATGGTATGTTTTGTCACGGTCTCATCCAGGTATCCGGAGTTCCAGTTCTATTTTTCCTCCTGGATTATTTTAATCTGGTTTCTTGCGTGTTAGTAACCCATCGGGTTGACTGCGTTTGATATTGTTATAAAACGGAGTCCTGAAATTCGCTTCATTAACTTGGAGACATAATTTCATTAACGCGTGTGGAGTGTTGAACGGAATCTGTGTCAACTGCAGATTATAACACCTCGGACTATAAACCATAAACTATCGAATGGACTATTTCAATCAATATTGTAGAACCATCTTTACCTTTTAACCGAACCGTTTAAACTATGAAGTACGTATATAAAAGATGAATATTTAAGAAATCTGTACATTTCTCCTAATTATATACAATAAGAAACATGAACGTTAAAATATTTGACAGAGATTTCAATCAATATTATAGATCACTTCGTTTTTTGGATAACATTCATAAAGAGTTTCAAAACTTTAAACTAATTTATTTACATAAATTTAACATCTTCTCTATATTATTTTTCGAAAGGATTTTAAATTACGTATATGCATTTGGGTAATATATGAATTTCCGAAAAAAGTAATTTTTTGCACCAAACTGATGTATAGTAGGGGAGACTGAGTACAGTTGTGTCTGGGTACGGTAGTGACAGTCGTTGTAACAGCTAAACTACACTGATTTTGAGAATTGGTCGAAGGGGAGAAAGATGTAGTATGATAGTTTGAACAAGTTCCCATTATTGCTTTGTTTTTAAAGAGTCAAAAGTAAGTTTTTTTCGTCACTTGTATCCGGATAGAATACTTTGTTTGCTATTTTGCTATAAGTTGAGCTTTAGTAGTAAATTGTCAGCAATTAGTTTTTGCGTAGATAATTTAACTTGATCATCACAATGATTCGTCTCCAGAAGTGTGCGTTGGGTATGGTAGAGACAAATTTTGTGGGTACGGCTGCAACATAATTTTCATGTCTTTATCGATTGAAATGCTGAACATGTGAAGAAATCTCTAACTGAACTAAGACAAAATAAAAAAGATAAAAAACGAAAAGGCAATACAAGAAAAGAAAGATTTTTTCCTGGTTTGCGGCAGCTCATATTCTGAAAGCAAGGGTGGCGTAAAATGAATCAAGTAACAAGGAACATGCGGTTCCTGGTTTCACGAAAAATGACAGGTAATAGTCATCATTACATTTGTCACCATTGTAATGATGATTCTGACGAGATCTCAGTATATTGATACATAGTCACTGTAATATTTTGACTGATTAGTAAACTAGAAGTAACTAGAAGTTGTTTGACTGATTTTGACGAAGAAATTTATAACAACACCAGTCGTGAATATTTGAGCACAGCATTTCCACCTAAACAAATGTTCAGATTGCCTTTTGATGGACTTTTCTGCCAGCTAACTAGTAAATTAACAAAATTATTACTGATAAAAAAAATGAGGCATAACCATCAAACCCAGTATCACCTATATATATTTTCTTCATACTTTTTCCAATTATATAAAATTGATTTTACACAAACATTCGGTTTAAACATTTATATATACATAGTTATAGCACATTATATTTGTAGATTTGTAGAGCTGTGGTAGAGATTTGTAGGCTTGAAATTTTTCAATTTTTTTTCATTAACTATCTTTAGAAACAAGTTATGTATTAAATTTTTTAACTTTTATATTCTGGCACAAAAAAGTAAACATATATATATATATATATATATATGCGTTTGTACGATTGATCTACTTAATCAAACACAGTACCATGTTATTAAATATTATTATTTAACCGAACAAGCCATTAAAGTCTTTTCATTTAAATAGCAGTTATGATATTAGCAAATTAATCACACGACTTGTATCATATAATTACGACAAATCATTTTATGAAAACGGAGTGCAAATATAAATAAGAAATAAACTAGCTGTAAGTGGAATTCTGTCTTGAGGCATTTATGGCATCGTGCCTTAAGGCAAATTGCTGGAACTTCCCGTACCGAAATGTTCGAGGAATACTGAATGTTTTCAAATAGATTATTATAAATATTGTAACATTGTCTAATATTTATGAGAATTATATAAACTGAATTGCAGAGTTGAAAATATTTGTAAAGTATATTAGAACTATAGCCAGAATTAAAAATAAAATCTGAAATATTTTTGATAAAACTAAAAAAAAAAAAAAAAAAAAAAAAAAAAAAAATTGAACAAAATTTTTTTTTCCAAAATCAATTATTTTGTTAAGACAAGCAGAAAGTTCTTTGAATCATTTAAATCGGACGCTTAGTTCTCTCAAAAACTGCCATTTTTTACATATTTAGCTCCATATCTTCGAAATGGCTGGGCCTGCCTTTGCCAAAAACTAATAAGCACTTCTCCCAATCATTACTAATTGAATGCTTTTTAGATCATTCAAATCAGATACTCCGTTCTCTCAA